TACAGGGTCACCACGGCAACTTTACAACCTGCCAGAGCGTACGACGGCCTGGGATAAGCTTGTGTGTCTCCACGGCGACGGGGGGTATGTGTCCATGTGTCCCCACCGCACACACTCAGACACTAACCTTGGCACATGCTCTGCATGCACGGCCAGTTGCCTTCTCCTCATCCTCCACTCTGGACAGGACGCTGAGACTCACACAGTCTGGTGGAGGTCAAAGATCACTGTTATTCTGATGCCCTCTGTCCAAGCACCACTGCAAGCCAGTGTTAGAGGTCTCCAGGTGGAGAGGGCGACATGTGGGGTTTCACATCAGCCTGACAACAGCTCCATTCTGTTCAGGTCAACTCAATGAAATTATCTATGCCCCGCCCACAAACGCACTGTCATGTCCACAGAGTGGACGATCTTTACAGAATGTTGATAAAAATCCCATTTAGTCATATAAACTATGGTTGGGGTTTAGATTTGCTACATAATGCTGAGTTCTTAGTTTAACTCCTTAAAATATTAGGCTTATTATACACTAAGGCTTATTATGCAGTAATTACAGGTACTTCAATGCAAACTGGCTGAGCTATTCTTAGGTTATAGAAGTGTGTAATAAAACTGCGTCCGTCGGCAGGCCCTGGCCATTTTAAGGGGTTAAAATGCTACATAACTTTTCGTGCCAAATACGTACTTTGCTGCTGTTGGAACAAAACCTTGTATCTCCATTTTTGATGTTTTTCAGTTTTTGACATAATTTGAAAATGCCTGTTGCCCTTTACATTGTGTGTGAATTCCATGATGAATGGACCAAAAAAAAAGACCCAAAATTACCCGCAATAAAGTCTGGTTCCACTGACTTACACTTAACGTAAAGAAGGTTTTTTCCTTCCCCTGTAAAGTTACCATTTTCGAGATATGAGGTTTTGTTCTGACAGCAGCGATTTGTTCTTAATGGCCTGTGTGGTTAAATTAATTTTAAGTTTAATATTATTGCAACACTGCTGGCATAAAAAATACAAAAATAGACTATAGAGCTGTACTGTGTTATTGTAGCTAATCAAAACTAGGCAGACTGGAAATGAGAATGAGAATTTGTTGCTGATGCTGATGCAAGCGTGACTAATAAATAAATAAATAAATAAATAAATAGTAACCCAATCCATTCTAACATACACAAAATAAAAATGCTGAAACTGAAAAAGCTGTATTGTGTCATCTTATTTCTCATTTCCTTGCATAAGATTTTTGCCAACAATCTGTAAAGCTGTCAGCTAACAGTTCTCACAACAGTTGCTATGGACGAATGCATTTGTGGCTGAAGCATAGAAAGATTAATTGCATTCTTTAGTAGCTGCTACTGTGGCTAGGTTGGACAAGCTTTTCAGAATTCTGGCAAAAATCCCTTTCAACATAATGAGAAACTGTAACTGTTCAATTGGGATCTAAAGATTTCTGCCTCTGTTCATCTCTCACAGCTGCAGAATAGCTTTACTGATATTGCTTGAGGCAACATAGAGTTTGTGTTATTGTTTCGTCTGCAAAATAGACATGTGGCAAGTACAACAAGGAAAACACTGTTGGTAAATTGTATGCCAAAAAACTAAATGATACCTCACAAGACTGGTGTTACATGGTGAAACTTTCATGCAACTAGTTGCATGTTGTGAGTAGACTGTAACATAATTTCCATGCAACTTTACAGTAACACGAAGCAATTCAAAAACAAAGTTAGTCAGTTCCTCCACTAGTTAGCCAATTAGCAGCTTGAATTTTCTGATACACTCTACTCTTCTCATTATAAAGTCATCTGTGAAGTGAAATTTACATATTTGCAGCATTTTATCATCATATATTTTTCCAGGTGTCACTGCCTTTTTTTATGTATCTGTATATCTGTAATTTTTCTATATATCTTATTATATATTTGACTTTTTCAATACATTCTGAGTATGTTAAGTCTTGTCTGCTTTTCGACCACCTAATAAACCATCTTCTATTTAATTTTCTTGTCCAGTGATCCTACTAAAGTCCAACTAAATGAACTTTCACCCTGTACGGCCAGCCTAACGGTGTGACCTCTCACACGTACAATGCTAAACGTCATTGAGCATTCACACTGCTATACTTTCTCATTAGGCTGAATGAATTTTTACCAACATTATTTAAAGCTTGTCCATCCTAGCAAGAATAACTATGAAAGAAAGCATGGATCTGTGGGTGGGACCAATTTCACGCGGGGACTGGTAATCAAGCTAATGAGTAGCTAATTATAAATCATGACACGAGTTCAACAGTAGCCAGGGGCATCATGAGGGTGGATGGCACACTCAGCTGGTGGTCTAGCAGGTCCAGAGAAGGATTAACCAACACATGAGCACTATCTCAGGATCCTGTATCAGCAGATCGCATTGATTCCCAGTGGGAAAGCTGAATAAACAAACGCAGCATCTGTGCGGTCCCATCCAGGGGCTTCCAGGAGGGTTTGTGAAAATCACAATAAGCGCTTCTGGTGACGGTGGCTGGCCACAGTTGCTATGGAGCTCAATGGTTCGGTGGATTTTTAAAAAAGCTCATTTTAAAAGCTCAGAGGCACAAATTCATCGTATCCAGGGAGTACTAATACTCCAGGGAGTACCAGGGAGCATAATCAGCACTGTGATGTGACACTGCACATCTTCAGTCATAAGTCCCACTCTGAGTCCACACAAGCACAAGCACTTCTGACTAGCCATCAATTAACACAGTTTAGGAAAACCAAAACGAGAGAGTTCCTGCCCATTTTGAGGTGCTCTTGCTGTGTTTCAGCATAATCTTAACATGCAATTGTCAGCGGCGCTGGTTTCATCTCCTGTGTATTTCCAGCCTAATGAAGCATGTGTTTAGCAGAAAAACTACTTTCTCGGCCCTCCTCATCCTGCATGCTGACAACTGCTTCTGTCACCATATTTCACTACCCTGACTATCTGACAGCTGCCCACTTGGGATCTCCATATCCGATCCATAGTATTGAGATTGGTTCCATTCCAGGCATAATTTAATGGATTAGGCATCAGCTATATGGGTCATTCTCCATTTGGAGTGGGAATTCAGGTGGATATATTTTTAAAAAATTGTTTCTTTCATCCCAAAACTAAACAATCTTAATATGTCCATTAACGTCTCCTATTATCATATATGTAAAAAGGAGAGCTTAATTCCAAACATATTTAACAGTCACTGGTGTTACACCATATTCATATAACACCAGTGACTGTTAAATATGTTTGGAATTAAGCTCTCCTTTTTACATATATGATAATAGGAGACGTGACTCCAGTGACATTCTGGTTAAAACTGAGGATTCTGTAAATTGGCTGACTGATTGGTGGTCAGGTGACCTTGTTCAACTGTTTAAAATCAGTAATAAAAATTACATTTGGCATTATTTTGACAAAATTTTAAATACTCTGCCATTCAAGCACATAACACCAGTGACATATAGAAGGTATGTGCTGCCTGATAAACTTTTCATAAATTATTAATAAATTAATTAAATATAGTGAGCAAGTATGACTCGCCCTCTCATGTTTTGAGATGCTTCCTCTCTGATGAGCCTCGACCCAAAGAAGCAGTTTAATAGAGCTGAAAATACTGTGTTAAAATGTAATGTAGGAGTCCTGATAACACCAACGACCAAAACCTCTGTCACTCCTGATTTTTTTTAAATAAAATACATATTTTCTAAATGTAGTATAACGTTAATGATATAAAAAGTAAACATGAATTTTTACATTGGATGTGTTTACATGCAATGATTTTTGTTTTCAGTTGTCGCGCTTGTGATTTTGACTGCTTTAAAATGATGTCAGACTCAGAAAAGCGTACTTCACCTGTCCTTATTAAAGAAGGCCGAGAGGAAGACGTCGTGTTCTGAGACACATAAGCTGGACGTCCGTCCCACCGCCGTCTTTTAAAGATCAGAGCATAAACTTCGTCTCCTCTGCAGACCAGTTTCTGCTCCGCCATGTTGAACATTATAAACTTTCACTATGACGTGACGCACGTGCAGAACGTACTGTAATCGGATACAGGCGTTTACACAGTTTTTATTCTTCTATTTAACAGATTATTTACAGGACTACCCACCTCGTTCAACTGGATAGAAACTGTATGGTTTAAAAGCAGACATTTGGGACAGACTCAAAGTCTCATGCATCAGGCAGCATTTATAACCATTTCATGTAATAGTTTTCTGTGAGAGGCATGAAGGTGTAGGGCAGGAAGGTTCCAGGATCAGGCTTGGAAACCCCTGGACTAGTGAACAACTCGTCCACACAGAGACTAAATGGATGACAAAACCAATTTGGAGAGCGTAAGTCACCACTCCTGGCGCTGATTGGCCCGTTCATACGCACACGGTCCACGGCAGGAAGCAGAGGAGTCTCTAAACGCCTGTCTGGGTCTGTTCTGGTTTGTTTTGTTCCAGTTGTCATGTGGCATCTTCTCCACACCGTCCCTGAGACTGAGCTTAAACCGGTCATGAAATTTGATTAGAAAATTAAATGAAACCATCACTCATGCTATATGGGGCACATTTTTATTAGTGTGCTTGCTCAATTTATGCTTTGGAATTACCTAGTGGCAGTTTTCTAATGCCGTTCATTTTTCTTTTCTTTTTTTTTTTATACCCGTGTAGCGAGGCAGCGCTCTCTGGAGCGGCACTGTTCTCACGGACAGAATGCTAAATAGAATTTGACTGACTGATTGATTAAGCGCCTCCAGCAGCCGAGCCTGCGGTGGATCCAGCTTTTATGGGGTCTGTGTCCGCGGCTCTGGATGTGACCGTAGGAGACGGAGAGTAATAAAGGCAGGGCAAAGTGAAAGGAACAGTGCTTCAGAAAAAAAGAGAAGAAAGATGGATGGATGGAGAGACAGAGAAAAAAAGAGGCAGAGAAAAGAAGAAAGCATGGTGGGCAGCCATAAAACAGAAGAGTGTGTGAAATATAAGAAAGCTCACTGAGTCTTACCTATCCACTTGTCGTTACCGTACCAGGAGAGATTGCCTTTGGTCATGTCATAATATCCAATCTTCTTATAGCTCCCCCCTAAAGGGAGAGAGAGAGAAAGTAAATAAGAGAGAGAGAGACAGATAAATAGAGAGAAATAGAGAATCCAAATTAGATTGAAAGAATAAGAGAAAACGGGGGAGAGAGAGAGATATATAGAGAGAAATAATAGAGAAAAAAGACTGAGAAAGAATTGAGAGATAGAGAGAGAAAAAAGGGAGGGAGAGAGCAGAAGAGAGAGAGAGAAAGAGAGAGAAAATGGGGGGAGCGAGAGAGAGATATATAGAGAGAAATAATAGAAAAAGAGAACAGAGAAGTGAGAGATAGAGAGAGATTAAGAGAAAATAGGGAGGGAGAGAGTAAAAAAGAGAGAGAGACAGAGAGAGACAGAGAGAACCAAGAGAGGGGGAGAAAAAACGAGTGAAGAGAGGGAAAGGTTACGGTTAAAAAGATGGAGACAAAAAAGAAAGAGAGAGTAAAAACAGGGAAGGAAACAGAGAGAGAGATTGAAGGGAATAGAAATAAACATTCAGAGAGAAAAGAGAAAGAAACACAAGTGAGAGACAGACAGAAACAGGGAAAGAATTAAAGAGAGAGGATGAGGAAAAAAGAGATGGAAATTAAAAAGATAGATGGAGAGAGAGAGAGAAAGAGAGAGAAAGAGATGTACAGAAAGAAAAAACTGAGAAAGACGAAAGAGAAATAAGAGAGAAATAAAATGAGGGAGAGAGAGAGACAGAGAAAGTAAGAGAGACAGAGAGAGAGAGAGAGAGAGAGAGACAGAGAGGTGTCCATCCTATTACAGAGCTTTTGAGATCAATATTGTCCGACAGCTCAGAAATTGGACAGCTTTCTTAATAAAAACATTACTGTGCGTCTTTAGACACAGGCAGCAGCCTCAGAGCAGACGCCATCATCAATCCTCACAGCTCCCGCATCAACAGCGCTCACAACGCGCCGCACACGCTGCTTTTTCCCTAACTCAGCTTCAGACGCAGTAACTGAGTAAAGCGCTGGAGCAGCGGCGCTGCGGAGAGAGAGAGGCTGATGGAGAAATATGTCTTCGTTTGGTATAATCAGACTTAAACTAAGGACATCGCTCAACAGGCACAAACATGCACACACACACACGCTCAGTAACACACGCTTACGGGCATGGGGGTCTTTACAGGGCTCCGGGGGCCTCCGCCCCCACACACAACAAGAAATTAGCTTAAGTGAGAACCATTATAATTATCAGGTGATCATTAAGCATAATTACTACACTCAGCTTCAGCCTCAGATTCCCCCCCGGGAGATCTGTCTGAGAGAGAGGGAGAGAGAGGGGGGAGAAGAACAGGATGAGAGAGAGGGGAGGGAGAGAGGGAGTGAGAGAGAGAGAAAGGGGAGAAGAAGAAGAGGGAGAAAGAGAGAGAAGGAGCAAAAGAGAGAAAAGGGAGAAGAAGAAGAATGAGAGAGAGAGAACGAGACAGAAGGTAGGGAGAGATAGAGTGAGAGAATGAGAGGGCGAGAGAGAGAGAGAGGGGGGAGGGAAGAAGAGAGAAAGGGAGTGAGAGAAGAGGGAGAGAAAGAGAGAGAGAAAATGAGAGAGAGCGAGAGAGAGAGAGAGAGAGAGAGAGAGAGAGAGAGGTGTGTCTAGAGCTGCGGTTTCACTTTCAGCCAGTAATTTTTATTTTTCTGCATCACTGCCAATAGCATAACAGGTGTAATGCCTTTCAACCAATTAGACTGTGTCATCGGAACTAACTATAAAACTAACTATAAACTATAAACTATAAAAACGATAAACGCCATCCTTTAAAAAACGAGCTGACCATCGTGAGTTATTCTTAACAGAGCTTATTCTGACCCTAAATACGCTTTGTCACAAAACTCGTTATCATCCATTGTCAAGGCAGCGCAAGTTCAGAAACATTAGCGCTGTTCTCGAGTAGAACCTGTTAAATCTGTTAAGCGAATCAGTGCACAGTATTCGGGTCAGGCGACTCGACACTGCTGCAAACTGTTTTAGGTGGAATCTCAAACGGCTCCCTTCTCCCTACAAAGTGCAGCACGTAGGTCTTAAAATAACAGCTACTGCATCTAAACAGAGCTCAGTGTGTCTAACAGAGAACCAGTTTGGATTCAGCCATGTGTGCACAATTCATACTGGACATAAAGCGCAATATTTGGGTGTAAAAGCCAAAATTTCTTAACTCACAATGCGCACTATATAGTGAGCAGTGAGCCATTTGAGATTCAGCCTTAGGATTTTTGAGCTCTGATCTTATAGCTGTTCAATATTGACCATTATCTGGCTGTTTTTGTTGCAAATTTCAGCTCTTTATCTACAGGTTTTATGTAAAAGAATGTTAAATATTGCACCTCTGAAACATGAAATGACTATTGGAGTTAACTGTCTTTGCCAAAAAACTAAATTTAAATTTTAAAAGATTCAATAAAGCTTAGTTACTTGTATTTTATTGAGTTATTTTTACTTAATCAAAACAGCCCAACGGCAATTTGTTTGACATTACCTGCAATGCACATCAAAAAAACATGATTTTGAAGATCTGTTTTTGCAAATCAAGAATTTCTCATGGATCATTCACTAAATTTGTGTTTTTGTCAGGGATAGGCAACCGATTGATAAGCTAAGCTGGTGCTGTAGCCGGTACTATGGAAGTACCGTTGAAGTTATTTAAAGATTTTCCTTGGAAAAAGAGAGACAATATGAAGCTTTTAACTACATCAATAAATTCAAGCTACTGAAATCTTTAGATCCCAGTGTGAGAAATGAAAAGCCACACATGGATGCTGGCTGCTTTTCGACCAAAAAAACCCAACTGATTTATGACTCCTCATTAGGTTGAACAGGATCTGTGCCAGTGTTCTGTTCGACCTGGCAACAGTTGCTATGAAAGAGCACATTTGTGGAGCACGAATGGGTCAATTCTGGTCCTATTAGGCTTGAGTCCAGCCCAATTTGGAGATTTCCTTCCAACCACATCTACTAAACCTGCTAATTAACTGATAAGTTGAGTCAGGTGTGTTTGCACATGGAAATCACCAAACTGTGCTGAACCAAAGCCCCCCAAGACCCCTGCTTTAAACAGCACCAGCCTGGCTGTATCATACTGGAATTTTCTGGCTTGTATCTGCAGCTCTGCGCTGTGACTCATAAAGCCACGCTCTACTACAGAGCGAGAACTATCAGAGGCCAGCCGTACGCTGAGCCGCGGCATCGTCCCGTTGTCTGGAGCCATGCCTTGCTCCAATTAGCCTCAAACTAATGACCTATCAAAAGCAGCAATCTCCTTTTCTGGAACGGGTAGCACAAAGCAGGAGGGTGAAAAAACACTCCAGGCGAACACAAACTTCCTTTTTAACAGTGCCAAACAAAGAGGCGGGCACGCGGGCGATACGGGCACAGCTTGAACAGGAGAACACAGCGGCGCTGATCAAAAAACACTCAAAAAACAAGCCTCCGAAACAGCCATGAACGCAAACGGCACCACCAAAGAGGATCCAATCAGTGTGTCGCAGCAGAAGCTGGAGCATCAACATACTCAGCACTGCAGGCTGTTCATTAGAGCTGCGCAATATGGATGAAAAATGGGATGTGCAATAAAGCTGTTATTGCAATAAAGATAAAATTATGATTAAAATATTTCAGACTAGATTATTTGATCCTCACGGTCTTGTTCTCTGGTGCTTTTTGACACTATTTACTTTTTTACATAAAAGTGGCCACCGATACTTTTACTTTTCATGCACAGTTTCTTAGTAGTTTCTACATTTTAGTGGTTCTACTAGAGCATAATTAAATAAGTGTACAGTGTGGACAGTGCCATTTGAGCGGTGATGTTAAATCTAGATTTCAGTCTTGATAAATCAGAGACACTTCCATTATTAAGGCCCTCTGCAATGTGTTTTCCTGGCAATCTATATCACAATGACGATAACATAACAGGACACAATGTGCAGCCTTACTGCTCATGTACTAATGTCCCATACAAAAAATCTGTATCTACTTATAACATCTATAATATCTCCTGATACACTGTTACACATGAGAGGTCAGCTCAACTCAAAATGATATAGTAACTGATTACATGGCTTTTCTTGAGTTGACTCAAGAAAAGTTCACCCAACTCAAACTTTTTAGTTCTGCATCTCAGTTAGGTCAATAAAATGATCTTATTTTTTACACTCAACTTCCCCTCTGGCCAGGGCTCTTTCCATCACACAATCCTGCTAATCCTGCTTTTCCTCTTGAGTACACAATTATGGGCGGCTAAGGCATTGCTGGGGCTCAAAGATGTTGTGTGTAGAAATGTTTAATAGACTGGAGAAATATTTGTTGTTTTAACTTTAAAGCATGGCATCGTCTCATGTGGTGCAGCTTTCTAATATTTCACCCCAACATCAGGAGGTTGTGAGTTTGAATCCCAGCAATGCCACAGCTGTCCATATCCGGAAGCCCAAGAGGAAAACATGCCAGATGTGACTGTGTGATAGAAGGAGTGCCAGCTAGTGGGGACGTTTTGTAAAAAAATGCAAATTCAGTTTTGTTTATCTAACAGAGATGGAGACCTAGAAACAGTAGCTGGGAGAGTTTTTGACTCAACTAAGAAGTTTGAGTTGGGTGAACTCAAGTTGAGTCAGCTCAAGAAAAGCCATGTAATCAGTTACTTTATGATTTTAAGTTGAGCAGACTTCAGTGCACTTGCAGCAGTTTTTGTTTATATGTATTCGGATATTTTAAAAAAATGTTTTTCTCCATTTTCCAAAAAATATCCACCCACACCAGCAGCTTCTTCTGAAAATCTCTCCATCCACAAGAGGATGCAAAAATAACTCAAAACACTCACATGAGCATTCCAGCCCATTAGAAAGTGTTAATATCTTATAAAATGTGATGTCAAACACTTCATGAAGAACATCCCTGCTGAAAAAGGACCTTTATACTGGGAATTGGCTTAAAGATATCCAATAGAGACCAATAGTTTACTGCAGAACACCTTTAGATCCCATGAGGAAACCATCTGAGGCATTTAGAATCCACCACTGGTCACCTGTTAAACTATTAGGATCCTTTACACTGTTATCAACCCACTAAAAAGCCAAAACACATTACAAAACCATTAGATACCAACAGAAATACTTCACTTCATGGTCTTTATGGGTTTTGTCAGCAGGGATTATGAGAATGCACAAATATAGAGTCAAACAAAGTGACTCTGACTCGCAGGCCTTCAGACATCCATGATTCAACATTTTACACAGACCCAAAGTTCAATTTCTACCAGAAAATAAAAGCTTAATAAAGGAAAGTGAAAGAAAGCCTACGCTTGTTGCTGTATGTTTGTTTACGTTGCCATAGCTATGTCTCTGAAACGTCCACGCGGACCTGTCCAGGCAAAGAATTGGAGTTTTTCTAGCTTTTTAGATAGATAGATAGATAGATAAATAGATCACTTCATTAATCCCAGAGGGAAATTCTTCTATTACTTCTATTTACTGTGCAGTACAAAGCACAGTAAAGAGCAAAACAAGAGCAAAATGAACAGGAGTAAAGTATTGTCTTACAGTATTCACAGATGCATAAATAGAAAGTAAAAAGATAAATAATAGAATAAAATAAAATAAAAAATATAGTAAAAACAATAAAATATCTGTACTGTAAACGATAACCTATGTTAACAGTTGTGCAATATGACATTTACAGACAAAGTGACAGTGCAATGTGCAATATTTGTGGACAAATAAACAAAGTGGCAGTGCAATATGGAATATGTATAAATGTATGTGGCAGTGCATAGTAATATGACTGAGTTTACTTCATTTGCATTGTGGAGTTAGAACTTATTTCGAATCAGACTTTGGTTAATGATCATCACATCACATATTTTTGGCATTGTTTTGATATTTGTAGTTCAGGTGAAACCCCATTTACAAGAACTGAGCACAGTACATTCTGACAGCTGGTAACATAATCCCCCCCAAACTGCTGAGCACAAAGAAACAACCCATTCGTCAGACATATTTCAGACAGAGGTCTACATACTTAAAGAGTAACTACACCCCACTATTTTCAGCTCCACCCCTGGCTCACCTTTGAAAAATGCTCAAAAATGGGAGGGGCACGCTGGGAGGGGCACTGCAGTGATCTACGGGTATGGAGGTGGGCCTGGGAGGGAAACTGGGTGGGCTGGGCTGCTATGTTTTTAGAGCTAGCGTACGTTAGCTACCGGAAAATATGGAGAGAGACAGAATCAAACAGCACTTTTGCAACTGAGAGTCTTACGACGTTGACGCCGTAAGAAGAGTTAACGTAGTGCCAGAAAATGATTAGCGGTGAGCGGCAGAGGCGCCGAATGGTAGAACATTCCCTAAAACTGTGACAGCTAGCTTCTAATTATCTGCTCAGCACGTCTATATTCGATATAACCAGATGTTCTCCCTCGCTCTCGGCTTGTATGGTTCCTTATTTATGAGCGCGGCACGAGCAGAGCCATCTCTCTACATGGCTCTGGGCACGAGTAGGGCGTCATCAGGGGGCGGTAATGTTGGTTTACTGATTTGCATACTTTGACTCTGTGACTTTGGTACGAAGACAAGACACGTCATTTGCGCCTATAGCAGAGCTGAACCAGAGGGGCGCTGCAGAGGCAGAACTGACCACGATTTTTACAGTTTGGAAAGATGTGTTCACATTTCAAGCAAGGCTGGTATATTTTATTATTACAGAGCAGTGCATTCCAGCTATTAATGAAAAAAAAGGTCTTAGGGTGTAGTCACCCTTTAATAAATGAAAACAGCTGCAGGCATGTGCAAGTTAATGGTGTGATGTCAGTGTTTTCAAAAATCTGCATTTTGGCCATCCACACATTTTCAGAAATCCCCACTCTGTAAAGCGTTTTCAGAAACCTACATTTACAGTGACTGAAAAAGCCATTTTCATGTGGATGGGACGCCAAAACCAGAGAAAAAACTATGCATTCAAAAATATCTGGATACGTGTGGATGGAGCCTCCATGAAGGGTTTTATTTCTGACTTCTGACGTTTTAATATCTAGCCTGCATATGTTAACCTAATGAAGAGATGTTCCAGTGCACATTCAGCGTCCCAGTGCAATGTGACTCTTATGGCATGGCCTTCAGCTCAGGTCAAAAACAAGAAAAAAACACCTCTTTGATAATGCTAATTACTGATAGCGTCCCTATGGGATTCTAAAGGTATGTTAGCGCCAAGCTAACAGCTGTGCACATGAACCTTCTTTCCTGATCATTTTTCATTGGGCAGGTCAAGATTTTAGCCTTTTTGTTCCCAACCAAAGCTTAAACATGAAATTAGAGTACTACTACAATACTCACAGAGTTTAAATACAAGAGGCATAAATGGGTCAGAAATTACAGACATGCATTTTTTAGCTCCCAGAAATAATTAAGTACTACTGTAAGGCCCTGAGAAATGCCCAACGCAGCTTCCCCTGACATACATACCTTGAAATAGAATGTAAATTGAAATGTAATTATTTATATAACTATGTTATTACAAGTACATTAATATATAATGTGAATTAAACACATAGTAAACACAACCTAGAGTTCTATGCGTTAAAAGAAATAGCGCTGTGGTAATATAGGAGATGCAGGCGCAAACATCCAGAGAGAACGTCCAATTAAGACCAACAGACCACCCTTCAGACACAAAGGCCAGGAGGCCATATTAACCACTCTGTTCAGACATTTGCATTTCCTGCATTTGCATCACCATGGAAACAAACGTAAGTAGGACCAGGCGCTTTAGAGAAAACACTCAGATGGACGATGTCAGAAGCAACGAGGGAAGCATAAGAGGCAGAGAGGAAAAATCCTGGCAGGATGAAACTCAGAAACAAAGCTCAGCTCTGTGCGAGGTGTAAAAGGTGGGCGAGCCGAAGACGCAGCCAAGCCTCCATCCTGAGGACTAATAGCATGTGAAGTGTTGGCCTTTTGCACTTGGATTTGAAATCCAGCTGCATTTCTTCCTCGAGCTCTGATAGAACACTGGGACTGAAGATTCGAAGACTATCTTTAAAAAAGAAAAAAATGCCCCACTTCAAAAAAGCTAATTTGGCAGAGACTTAAAAGCAGCTTCTTCTGCAAACCATCCAACATTTAATAAAATATTCAACAAGCAATATGAAGCTTTTTAAGCCCACACTACAGTTTGCTTGTCATTACGGTTGCAGTGATTCACCACATACAAAGTTTGTTTCAGTGCAGTGGTGTCTCGATTCGATACACTTCGATACAGCAAAAATAAGGAGTGGCTAAAATGTGCCTTATAGTGATTGAACACTATTGTTATCTGGTTTATGTTCTTCTTCCTCTTTATCTTTTTCTTATTTTTCTGCTAGATTTCTGTCCGCTTACTCGTCCCAAAGTTTGTGAATTATTGTCACGTTTCCTACTTCTGAATGTTTGGTGTGATCAGGAATGGTGTGCTTGTTAAGCTTTTTGTTCCGATGTACGATTTACGTACAATCTTTGTTAAATTCAGAATTTTTTTTTTTCTCATAGAAAACAATGGGGTAAAAAATTGTACATCCATCTACTGCACCTTAGCAACCACTTGATATACCATTATAATTGCCTAGCAACATCCTAGCAACCACCTCTGATTCCATGGCAAGCACCTAGCAACACCTAAGCAACTACCTGTGATACCACAGCAACCACTTGATATACCATTATAATTGCCTAGCAACATCTTAGTAACCATCTAGAATACCATAGCAACCACCTAGCAACCACTTGGGATACCATACCAAACACCTAGCAACGCCATAGCTTGCTTTTTATGAATCTTTATAAAGGTACTCTTATTTTAAAGTGGTACCCTCATTATTTACTATAGCCTTTCTCTTATGCAGCCCTAAATAAAACACAATACAATATGCTGTAATAAAATTGGATACAATATGTTGTACTTTCACACCTCTACTCATCATATAGTAACTATTATTCAATAATAACTTATACAGTGTAGATTAAAATCTTGTAAAATAGACACTAAACCACAAACTGATGGCAGAAAAACGTCATATTTAAGTTTACTTTCTGTATTTTCACTTAGAAAATCAAAAAAACATGTAATTTTACGGGGGATATTCAAAGTTCTTCACTGCATCTGCAACAAAATTGTTGTAATATGATTCAAAACAGTGACTGCAAACTTTAAAAGGGTACTAAATGTTCATTTCTATTTATCTGCCATTTTATTATGTGAAGGTACAACAGAAAAAGGAGTTTGAGACAGGAGTCCTCTCCGCATTCTAATTTTCTCAGTTCCATTCAGATCTGGATCATCTGAGCATGAAAACTCAGCTTAGGGTGTTTCACCTGCCACCTGTAGGCTGATAGCAGACTCATAAATCATCTCTCCACATCCATGAGCAGCGGAGCATACTGATCAGCACCGCCACCGCCCAAACGCAGCACTTTACCTGCAGCTGCCACTCGTTAAAAGCCTTTCCAGACACATCGTCTTCACACTCGGCTTGGCGCCGCTGGCTCCAACGAAGGGACGACTGTTTACGCCGACTAAGTGCAGCGAACGGGAGCCACACTGTCATTCACGCATTAATCATTATAATTTTGCATCCCGCAATTAGCTAATCGCAAAAGGCCCCCATTAATTCGGCTTGTGTGGTAGTTTACCTGTTGAGTCAATATCAAGCAATACAAACAGATCTGCTACGCGAATAAACACTACAACGACCCATTATGTTCTCACCGAACGGATCTGTCAGCACCCCGACAAGTCATAAGCAATTACGCCGTCTGACAAAATCACAGCCTGTATCGGTTTATCATAATCATAAACCGGCCTAATGAACACTGTCACCCTTCTGTCATAACTGTGCAGACTGGTGAATTTCACTTGCCTTGCAGTTGCTCGATCAAAGTCCAGGCCATCCTGGAGCCCTGAGCGTCGAACACAACGTGGCCCTGGAAGAGATCAACACAGACATTTTTACACTTTTACTCCTCTCAGAGAAACTCTCTTTTCCCCCTTTACGTCACCGTCTTTCTCACATTTGTCTCTTTAGCACACCTCTCTCCTCACTGCCTCAAACCAGGCTGACAGTCGAAGATGAAAAATGTATCAGTGTGATAAAAAAATCCTTATCAGATCCAGTCTTGTTCCATCTTGCCAAACATCCCTTTCAAGGAACAGGTTGGTGAAAAATCACATTTACAGAATTTTTCCTCTTCCCTAGATCTGAGGCCAGCAACCCAATTGTTACGAAGAGCCATTTTGTCCTTTCAACAAAAATCAAACCACTTTGGGAACAACATTTTATGTCCGTTTTGCCATCTTGGCTGTAAATATGTCACAGTGCTCGCTAATGTTCTAGTATAGGCTAAACATAATATAAACAAAAACGCAGACTTACTTTGCTCTGCTTTAAGCTTTAGCTCAGCTATAGCTGCGTTTCTCGCATCTCCAGCAGGAAACTTTTCCTCAAAAGTAGAATAGTTTGTTGTAAAATGTTTCTCAACGTTCAGTCAGCTTTTCATTCGCCAGCTTCTTGTTCAAATTTGCCCGTTCCACCTTAAATTGTGGCTAAGGTGCCAGAATGTAACTGCTTCACCATTTAAGGTGGAACAGGAAAATCTGAACCAGAAGCTGACAAATAAAAAGCTGACTTCAAATCCGTGACTTTTTAGTGTTTGACAGTTTCTCGTTGCAGATTAAATGTATCAGGAAACCAGCTGGAGTGATTATGAACGCAAATAAGTCTGTTCGTCTCCAAATTATTGATGTTATTCTTAAATCTTTCTCTTTGACTTTTCGTTAGCTACTAGTATATATGGGCTATATTAACTCCAGCATTTCTTGTTAAAACTGTGTTGAACAATCAGCAGAGCTTTACTTTACTGTAAAGGAGGATTATTTTATTTTTACCTGAAAATCTGATTCCGCTGTGGAGCCACAACAGGACAGTAAAAGAGACGCATGTGGCTCCAGAGCCACATGTTGCTGACCCCTGCCCTAGATGTAGTCAATCAGTCAGGATAACAGACTTGAGTACTGTGCCACTAAAAGTATTTGGACATTTGTGCCATACCTAAAAATGTATTAAGTTCATTGTGTTTGGAAGTGGAACTTATTTTAAAAGGACCAGTCCAAGACTGTCATTTTCTGTTTAGTGTCCTATCAAAAGGTGGTTGGTTTGTTTCAGATCGAATGTACTGCTCATCTGATGGGGACAGTTTTGGTGTCTACCAGGTCTTCCAGATGGTTGTTAGGAGTCCCATTTTCGAAACTCTGGTTTTTCCCACTTGTTTTCCTTTGACTTCCCCCTTCCTTATGCAAGTGGATTATCTTACATCCTGAAAAATGAATAACTTTATGATTGTTTTGATTGAAATAAAATAGATGATTGGTGGTCACTGAATTTTGATAGTACTGTATTTACCAGTAATGCTTCTGTTCACATGTGATCCCTCCTGGAAATGTACTAAGTTTTGCGCAGGTAAATTTCGTTGTTAACTTGATCGGGAATTCGACTCTGGCTCGTCTTCACATTTAACTAATTGCCATTTAATTACTGCTAAATTCCAGTGAGAAAGGGTCATTCGAGGTTACTTAACAACTTGACACAGCTTAACGCAAGTGTGAGATGATTTAAACGTGCAGTTCGTATTATGCTAATTGGTGGGGAATAAACTTTCTCACTATTTGTTAGCTACATTATCCTTGTTGCTCCTGCAGAAAACTAAAGCAGCAAACCTCAGACACTAAACATGTTCTGAATGGAGTGGCTACATTTGGCGTGAGGGGAAAACTGATCCATCACTTTAATGTCACTTCTCTTTAATCCAACAATACTCACAGAGACCCCCTCGAAGGAGCTGGTGTTGAGGGCTCGGTAGATTTCTGCAGTGATGTCTTTGTTGTTGTAGTTGAAGTCCTCTAGCCGGCGGCCCCTAGCCTTCAGGGGCTCCACGGTCTTGTTGAGGGCCAAAGCCAGAGCCCACACCGCATCGTAGGCCAGCGGGGCCTCCTGAAACCCCCCTGTCTCCTGGGTCCTGCCGCCCAGCTTAGACGTCAGCTGATTCACGAACTCCTGTGAGGTCTGCAGCAGAAAAAAGGAAAACAGAGGAGGAGAAATTTACTGAGATGAAACGTGTGTGGCTACGTGGATAGCCAGGGGACACAGAGTGAGAGATAAAGAGGAGGTGAGAGAGGGGGAGAGAGAGAAAGAGAGGGAGGTCTGGTCGGGATAAGGCACAGTCTTCCCCTGTGGGAGCACATTACGCTGATACACTTTTCTCTTTGGCGCTAAAGACCTAATTCACTCATGCACAGACAATGTGCAAAGTAACAGTTCGTTAAAAAATACATTTTGCACTGTCATCCTGCACATATCCCATTTCCCAACTTCACTGTTCATCAGCCGAGACATGACTGGTGTCTGAAATTTGCTTCTTTAGTGTTGCACTGAAGCTACGTGGCTAAAGTAGCTAAGTAATGGAAGCTCTACCAATTAGCATCATGCAAACTGCACACACTGCCCTATTAGAGTCTTATGTGGTTTCTGACCCTGTATGACGCACTGGTTTCTAGAAAAATGGACAAAGGCATATCACATCTTCTCATCAGGAGATCACGAGTTCGATCCCTTGTTAGGCTACAGTTATCCGTGGCCGGGAGTCTAAGAGAGCACAACTGGCCTTGATCTCTCTGGGTGGGTAGGATGGCCCCCCGTCTCCCCCATCACTCAGCGCAATGCTAGCCAGCACTGGTATCTGTTAGCTGACGTAACAGAACTGGTGGTTAGCGTTCTCCTCCAAGCATGTTCAGCTATCGAATGTTGTTGTGTTAGCGGCAGTGAGAAAAGATGTTGTGGTGCTTCACATGACTTGGAGGAAGCCTGTGCTAGCCTTCACCCTCCTAGCGCTGGTGGTATCATGTGATCCTAACTAGGGGGTGGAACTGCATATAAATTGGGGAGAAAATTGGGAGAAAAAATTCAGGTGCCAGAACTGTGTTCATACTTTTGTCCAATGTTATAGACAAAGGTGTGTCATACAGTGTTAGAGGGGCATTTTGGTCAAAATGAAATGTAACCACTGCTTCATCTCTAGTGAACATGCTTACTGTGCCCCTACAGTGGTACCACAGTAGTCTCGAAAGATTTTCCGCTTTCAGACTAGCATCACCTTCTCATCACCGTCTTATGATGTATCTTGAAGGTGGAAGGGACTTTAGAAAAACTACAAGTGCTTTGGGGCAGATCTTTGGGAGCAGGCTGTTTGATACACTCTTGCTAGCTGGCCAATACGAAACAAAGCCCTATATCTACTGATATGAAGTCAAATATCACATCTGTATTCATTAGCCTCTACATAAGTGGATTTCTTCATCACTGTGGGAGGTATAGACGTAATGCATGCTGGGTATTGTAGTGAGAGAACATTGATGACAATACAAAAAGGACACAAAATCATGAATTCTGTTAAACTGATGAGGCTGAGGGATGCGCTACAGAATATTGTATAACATATGATAAATAACATTAAAAACTAGTTTTAGGCTGGAATGACCCTTTAACAACTCGACGTGATTTGAGGCAAGTGTGTGACTATTTAGGCATGCATTCTGCACAATGCTAACTGGTATACATAAGCTTCCGTTACATGTTAGCAACATTAGCCTCATAGCTCCAGTGCAAAACTAAAGAAAAAAACTTAAGACACCAAACGTCGCTGTCCAAAGAAAAACATGTATCTCCAAACGAGTAATGTTGCAGCAGAGGGCAAAAACATTCTTGACCAGAATTCAGTGTAAGAAAAATAAAATTACAGATGGATAAATTAAGCACATAGCCTTGCAGTCTCGACAGACAAAACACTGGCAGTAGAATGGGTCGTACTGATGAGCTCAGTGACTTTAAGTGTTGCACTGTCATAGGATGACAGTGTAAAGCACACTGCCACTGGACTCTGGAGCAGTGAAAATGCATTCTCTGGAGTGACAAATCACGCTTCTCTATCTGTCAGTCTGATAGACGAGTCTGGGTTTGGCGAATGCCAGAAGAACGTTGCCTGCCTGACTGCACTGTCCTGACTGTAAAGTGTGGTGGAGGAGGGATAATGATATGGGCTTGTTTTTCAGGGGTTGGCCTAGAACCCTTAGTTCCAGTGAAGGGAAATCTTGAGTTTGGTGTGGAAGAACTTGACTGGCCCACACAGAGCCTTGACCTCAACCCCATCGAACACCTTTGGGATGAACTAGAATGGAGACTGTGAGCCAGGCCCTCTCGCCCAATGGTGTCTGACCTCACAAATGCTCTTCTGGATGAATGAGCAGAAATTCCCACAGACACTCTCCAAAATCTTGTAGAAAGCTTCCCAGAAGAATGGAGGCTGTTATAGCTGTAAAGGGGGACCAACTTCATATTAATGCCTATAGATTTAGAAAGGGACATCCTAAAAGCTCCTGTGGGTGTAAAGTGTAGGTGTCCCAATACTTTTGTCCATATAGTGTACATGTTTTTTTTTTTGGACCTTAATATCTTGGATGATGAACTATGTTTTAGGTAATGGGAAAAACTGATTTTTCATTTTTTGCCGAACTATTGCCTTAACCTTTGCTTGTCTCAGGTGTTCTGCTCCACACGGAGACTCTGGTGTCATCATAAATCAAAATAGAGTGCTTTTAGTATCATTTGAAAAACCAATCTACTCCTCCTTGCTTCACACTGAGGGAAATGGGCAGCTTTTTGGGCTTCAGACAGGCATATTTAGCCAAATAAGCCTGGGCTACAAGGAACCATGTGCTGGTTATTGACATAAATAGCAAGGGGCCGTGTGTGTGTGTGTGTGTGTGTGTGTGTGTGTAGCTTGAGGGAAGGGGAGCGGATGCATGTGTGCGCAGAAAGAGACGGCGCTGTCAAAAAGCTTTTCGAGCCTTTCAGATGCATCGCATCAAAGAGAAGTATGGCAGGAGGGAATGAGGGAGAGCAAATGACTCCGCTATCGAGCCAATTTAGCACGGCGATCTTATCACAAATAAGCCTGTCCAATATGACACTTTTTTGTTGTCAGGTGTAAAGCATAGGCTCCTGGAAGAGTGCCCGGACTGGGCAGAATCCAGGCGGACAGCAGGGGTAACCGTATGCATGCCCAATCCCAGCACGGAGCTCCAGAGCCGGGCAAAGCTCCAGACAGCTTCCCCCCGGGAGCACGTGTCACCCTGAAGCTCACACCTGTCTTCCCATCCGCCCCACGGGACATAACGGCCGGTCTGGCTCCAGAGACAGCCGTCAGATCTTCCACCGCGTCGCCTGTGAGCTTCAGGGGTGCACAAACGAGTCAGTGCATCGAGATTCATCGATCTAATGATGCCGATTGAACTGTATTGATTTTGAAATGTTTGATTTGATTAGATTAACACTGAATCTTTCTAAAAAGGCAGGTTTAGTGTATATAATTGATGATAATAATGTAATTATAACCAAATTTAACAACATTCAATAAAGTATGCACCAATTTTCTGCCCAAAGTAAAATCTCTGGACTAATTAAAAAGAAAAAAAAGCTGTTTTTAATTTGTATATTTAGACAATTTTTCACAGTGATTCAGAATCTTACTAAGATAAGCAAACTGAATCAAGTCTTGGTGAAATCTGAGAGTTTATCATGTGTTGATTCATGTCCCATAAGATAAGGTATAAACTTTAATGATGCCCATTAAAGAGAAATGGATATGCAGTCATGTGCAAAAGTTTTGGCACCCTGGTCAATGAATATAGTTAACATATCATCTACAGACAACAATCTTGTGCATATTTTAATGCACAGTCATTGTTTATTTGCTGAATTTCACACATTGGGGAAAAATATAGTTTAAAAAGTGACCTGTGCATAAGTTATGGCACATATATGTTTGTTTTTTTTCCAAAGTATTTCCTATTGTCACTTAGAAAATCAACACACCATGTAATTTGACCAGGGGTGTCTAAATTTTTGTATATAACTGTGTATATGGGTCAATCTACCATTGTGGTGGCAAACCGAGAGCAAACGATTGCATATGAAGTTGTCAGCATTTTAACCAAATTTTTCAGAAATATGAAAGGGGTCTCACTAACCATGGAATTCTCAGAGTTAGTCTTTCTTCCTTTGAAATATCCACATAAAAAGTCATTCAAAAAGTGGGGAGTTCATTTTGTGCCCAAAGTTTGAAATTAAATAATAAAATCTACAATGTTAAGTATCAAAATGTAAAGAAATCTGTTGTGAATATGAATAATGACAGTTAAATCAAACTTAATTTTTCAATTTTTCACTTCGCTCGATTTGATTTAAATTTATTACCCATTCTTTGCTGTCATTTTTGTTTCTATTTGCTGATTTTGCTGATATATATTTCTTGCTTCTGAATTTTGGCACATAGGGCTGACCAGAGGGCTGGTCTAAGCAAGTGGCGTTCATCTGCACTGTCTACTGACCAACTGATTTGGAGTGACAGGTCCTCTCTCACACAGCCACACCCACTCAGTGAGTCGTGAACCGCCTCAAAACACCATACTGAGCTTCACCTAAAAACAATACTGTGAATCTGTGAAGTCACTGCTGTTTTTTATGATGTTAGTGACTAAAAATCACTATAATAAAACTTCAAAAGAAGTAATAATCATAGTTTTGTGCTGGTTATTTGGGAACCTCGACTGGTGAGCTCATTTTCAAGGCTTCAAAGTTGGGGGACACCATTTACCACCATGATGGTGAAATAATACTGTGCAAAAGCCATGAAGAATTGTTTAAAGCTATTTATCTACGCAGAATTGTTTTTCTTGTATAACACGATGTAATATTCAAATAAACACAACTTTCACATAAACCCAGTAAATATATATCAAAATATATCATGCTTTTTGCAGCTACTGCACACATGCATATCTCTATAAGAAAGGCAGCAGAGATTTGATGACATCTGAATGCAACAGGCCTGTTTTCTTCCTGTTTACGCCTTTACCAACAAGGAGATTACATCCTTTAATAAAACCACTGAGCTGTCTGAGCTACCCTATTCATATGTTAACTAGAGAACTGTCTCCTTCTCTTATAATGTCTCTGGCTCAGGTCACATGATCTTCCACTGTTCCGTACGGCACTTGAGCTCCAGCACTCCGCAGGCAAACAGCTGCAAGAGAGAAAATACTGCAGTAACATCAGCTCTGTGCTGTAAGATGTGCTCCACTGTCAATGATGCTTACAATGACGTAGTGATGTGCATGTGGTGGGAACACACACCACACCACTGATGACGTTAAGGGACAGTGGTGCGGTGAACAGGATTTCTCAAAGTAGGACAAGTTCCTGAAACCATATCTCTTAGTTATTCCTGGCACATTCCTTTAAATCAATCATCATTATTGTCAATGTGCACCTTCTACACTTGAAGATTTACTTCAGCATGTACTAGTTTCGGCATTTTAGTTCATAAAACTAAGCCAAATTGCTTAATTTATTTGCTTAATGTATTGAAACATTGAACATATTCAGGCTTAGTTAGGCCATTTAAGACCACATAAGCACTCATGGGTGCTTTTCGACTGTGCATTCAGAAACATACAGGAACAAACGGGACTTTGGTTAACAGTTCTAGCTCATTTTCTTCATAGAAGGACTGCTAAATACTGATAACATAAGCATAAGCTACATAACTAGCTAACATAACCCCTTAAAATCCCAGGCTTATTACATACTAAGGCTTATTATTCAGTAACTACAGGGACTTAAATGCAAACTAACTGAGCTATTCTTAAGTTATAGCAGTGTGTAATAAAACTTCAGAATTTTAAGGGGTTAGCTAGTTATGTAGCTAATGCTAACATAACCCCTTAAAATCCCAGGCTTATTATTTAGTTACGACAACGTTTTCAATGCAAACTAGCTGAGCTAGTTTTTGTTAAGTTATAGAAGTGTGTAATAAAATTCCGGGATTTTAAGATTCTGGGAGGCTATGTTAGCTAGATATGTAGCTAATGCTAATTTAATCCCTTAAAATCCGAGGTTCATCACATACTACGGCTTATTCAGCAACTACAGGGACCACAAAGCAAACTACCTGAGCTATGCTTAAGATATAGAAGTGTGCAGTAAAACTTTGGGATTTTATGTGGTTAAGTTAGCTAGTTATGTGGCTAATGCTAACTTAACCCCTTAAAATCCCTGGCTTATTATATACTAAGGCTTATTATTCAGTAACTACAGGGACTACAATGCAAACTAGCAGAGTTATTCTTAGATACAGAATTGTGTAATAAAGTTTTGGGATTTTAAGCAGTTAAGTTAGCTAGTTATGCAGCTAGTGCCAACTTAACCTCTTAAAATCCTGGGCTTATTACATACTAAGGCTTATTATTCAGTAACAACAGAGATTTTAATGCAAACTGGCTGAGGTATTCCTAAGTTATAGAAGTGTGTAATAAAACTTTGGGCCTGCTGGTTACCCCAGGCCATTTGGGACGTTAAGCTCAGCAAAACTCAACATGATAATTCCAAATACAGTGATTAACACATCAACATAATATCATAGCTCCAATTCTGGTGCATTTATTGGTCATGTAATAGCAATTGGTAGGGGCTGCACAGGCTAGTTGACTAACGAATCCACTAGTGGGCGCTGTAGGCAGCAGTCGAGTAGTCAAGTCTAGGCAGTGCCTGAAATACAGCAGTGGCAAAAAACAGCAGTAAACAGACAGGAAGAGAGAAAACAGTTTTTCTGTTAAACAAAAAGGCCAACGTTCTTTACTAGTGTGGAAATGGAACTAATTCCACTGTAAGCTGTGCAACAGTGCATTTACACTGACCGAACACATCTTCAGTTGGCCACATGTGGGTGAGGGACTTCCCTGTGAAATCCAACTGAAATGCAGTCTTGCTAAGTTGACATTTATGCAAGCAATGCTTCGATTTTTTGAATAATGAGAACGTCAACACAGTACGCATCATTAAACTAATATTTTCCAAAACGTTAATAAGGTTAAACTGGGAAAGATTATGACTTAGGTCATTTTGGTTTATTATCATCCAACTGATGGTTTTTCCACTCAGATTTTACATTTTGGAGTTAAACAGCTGTTTAAATATATTAGCTTTCACCTCTGGTCTTTCATGTAGTTTAGTAACATTTAAAAAGCAGAACCAAAGTTTCATACCTTGAGAAACAGACATGAACCACGCAAACCCCAGCTGCCTCCTGAGTGGGTGGACGCATCACATTGGCCATATTAATTTGCATAAAGTTCCGTTCAACCGTTTGACGCACCACATCCCCCTCACTCGACCCATCATGCTGCCACATCTGACGGAACCGATGCTTTACATTGAAAATGAATGGGATATGTTGTGTTGTGTTGACGTGCCAGAGTGTGTAAATGCAGCCTAACACTGCGCTGGAATACAAGCTAGTAAACCAGACCAGGGAGGTTTTGAGAACACCAGCAGACACTTGAGGAGGATATCTCATGCAGAGCTTAGCCGAGATAACATTAGCTTGGTAAGTTTTGAGTGTGCTAGTTTGACTAATTAGCTGGTTTGCCAATTGATAGTATTTCGATGACATCACAGTCATGCTGCCGCCATTTTGGCAGGCAACATCAAGTTCATTCAGCAGTGCTGTGGTGGTTTGCAATGAGACAAAGCCATAACAGATACAGCACAGGCAGTAAAATGTTTTTTTATCACTTTTTTTAAATTTTACATTTTACATTTTTAAAGTGTATTAACTGATATTTGATTGTGTTGACTTGTATTGTTGCAGCAGTATCAAATGAAAGCTGAAATCTAAACGGCTGAGATTTCCCTCTGCGTTACTAGTGCCCAGTTCCAAGCCGCATGCTAGCACATTAAACGGTGTGTAAATATAGCACATATACCATTAAAACTGCACTCATTAGTGCAGCAGGTGAAGTACAGATGTGTGTGGTTCGGGATGCAGATCGTCCAGCGAGACGCATTAAACATTTCCAAGAGAAATTTTGAGGTATTTGTTGATTGAAGATGCATTTATTGAGGTAAATTAATGCATTTATTGAGGTAAGCTGATATTGTCTTCATATTCGGCAACTTTTGTAATTTGTTCTACGTTCAAGGCATCTCAATGTAGCTGCAGCACCATTTAAGGTGGAACGGAAACTTCAGATGAGAGGCTGGTGAATAAGAAGCTAAGAGTTTATATATGTGAGAGTTTAGTATTTAAGAGCTTTGGTAGCCACTTTTATTAGTTTTTATAAAATATCACACACTGAACTCTGGAGAAATGCACACTTTACGGATTTAGTCCCCCAACCTAGCTAATCTTCTCGTAGCGTTTGTTTGGAGGCTGCATCTAAAGTGTCCACATATCTTGTCATGTTTTTCGCTGTCATTCTGATCTATTTTGCTATTTTGCTTTTGGTTCTCAGCCACCTGCAGGGTTGTATCAGCAGTAACGGTGATGCGATGCTCTATCAGAGCACAGTCAGAGTTACAGCTCACCTACCAACTTAGCGACGGGGTCTTCTTAATGACGCAGTCTAATACTATGAATAGGTGGGAGAAGAAGGGGACACACACTGATGACATCAGATGGCTGTGCCCGGTTAAAGGAATGCTGTAACAGAACATTAAAACATCACATTCACCACAGCAGCTTTCATGTACAAAGGAGAGTAAAAGCCTCACCAAGTTGGAAGCCCCTCGGACCGTCTCTGGGTTGAGCATTACGATCTCCGTGGTAACGTGGCCCTCCACCGCCTCCGTCATCTGCTCCACCGTGCAGTTGATTGATGTATCATTTATCTTGAACCAGTTATCGGCGTACCAGCCAATCAGGAACCAGACATACTTCTTCCCATAGAGCTTTTCCTTATAGACCTACAGCAGAGTTTCAGAGAGCAGCAGCGACTCAGCGACGAAAGAAAAAAGACCTGCTCTTTCTCACAATCTCTCCTCCCAAAATCACTACCATTAATCATCCTGAGCTGGACGGCTGGAGACTGACCTCACAGAAAACTTTCCTGGCCTCCGTCTCATAGAACAGACCCACGATGATGCGAGCGTCCTGCCGCTATGGAAACAGCAGGAGAGACCAGCGGTCAGAAAAAAGGAACGCCTTCATACAGAAGAAAGAAAGAAAGAAGCAGAACTCAGGGAAATAAAAAAGATAGAAAGACAGAAAGAAAGAAAGAAAGAAAGAAAGAAGAAAAGAAAGATAGATAGATAGATAGATAGATAGATAGATAGATAGATAGATAGACAGATAGAATACAGGAAAGAAAGAGAGAAAGAAAGAAATAAAGAAAGAAATAAAGAAAGAAGCAGAAGACAGGAAAGAAAGAAAGAAAGAAAGAAAGTAACAAGAGGAAGAGTAGAAGAGTAGCTGCTGTAAAGAGACAAGAAAGTCAAGAAGTCAAGAAAGAAAAAGAAAGAAAGAAAGAAACAGAAGACAATAAAGAAAGAAAGAAAGAAAGAAAGAAAGAAAGAAAGTAACAAGAAGAATGAAAAGAGTAGAAGAGTAGCTGCTGTAAAGAGACAAGAAAGAAAAGAAGAAAGTAACAGAAGACAAGGAAGAAGTCAAGAAAGAAAGAAAGGACCAGAGATAAAGAAAGTAAGAAGAATGAGAAGAGTAAAAGAGTAGCTGCTGTAAAATGTGTTTTGTAAATAAACTTTGACTTGACTCGACTTGAAAGAAACCGCTGCCCAGAAAGAAAAGAAGAAGCAGCAGCCAAGAAGAAAAACCTGAGAGGTAAACAGAGAGAAAGAGAAAAGAGGCAGAAGAGTGTGAGATAGAGAGAGAGAGAGAGTGAAAGTGAGAGAGAGAGAGAGAGAGAGAGAGAGAGAGCTGTTCAGTGAGTCTGTGTATGAGGTGATGGTGTTGTATGTGCTGTGCAGTGATGTTGGAGCTCCATCTCTCTCAGGGCTCTGCTGTATTCCAGGTTACCACGGTGACTCCTGCGATAGCCAATTAATCTCCTGTACCAAAAGTAGGCCGGCTCACGCGGCAGGGCCGCTCTCAACTCACTGCCAGAGCGCAGAGAGCGGAGAGTCCGCCGAGACGACAGGCGGGAGAGCGAGCGGGACAGGGTGTCAGACCCCCCGCTCCAATTAAGACCACTTCCCTCAAAACAAAAGCACAGCGCTCCAAAACGCAGCCTGTGGTATTTTCTCCAGCAGAGAGGTGATCACTTTTACCATGACAGGCTAGACAAGCGGAACGCAACTGCTGTGAATAAATACCTGTACGGATGTGTTTGTGTCTTTGCTTCTGCACATTTTTAGGACAGAAATGTTCTCACCCAGAGGACAACAACATGATCCTGACTCTGTAAAGGTCTAATAAAAACGCTTCATATTTTATTTATTAAATGTGAAAGAGCAAATTTTTTCATTTTGGACACTGAGGTTAAGGTTAGATACACATATAAAACATGTAAGGTACATATTATTACATATACAGTACTGTGCAAAGCTCGGCTTACACGACAGGTTTTTGAACCCGATATGCACCTTTCAACAAACTTTCACAACAGCACAAAACATTTTAACACTGCTGTTATATTTTAAGAGCTTTTAAACTCAGTTATAGGGGTTTAAAATGGCGCTTCATGTCCGTTCATGACGTATCTGAGCGCAAACAGCCAATGAGCTGCTCTGCTCGCCAAACAATCAGCACTCAGTAGCCATAATGCTAATGTCCTGCTGCCCAAAACCCGTTTGCTGTAGAAAAAAGGAAACATACAGGTGACTCACTTTTAAATGAGTGCTGTGTCGGCGCTGCACTGTCCTGTCTGTTTACTGTATCTAATGTCTGTTTTATTTATCGTATTTATTGTATTGTTTCTAGTCTAATTCTTTTTGCACACTCACGTCTGCACGTTGCACTTTGTACTGTCTATTTTGTTCCATGTTGCACCGTGTTGTTCCTTGGAGGAACGTAATTTGACTCCACTGTGTATTTGTACATAGATGGAATGACAATAAAAGCCTCTTGACTTGACTTGACTTGAGTTTTATTTGTTTTTTTAGTGAAACACATCCTTCTACTTTATAAATTAAAGGAAAGTTTTGGACAAGTGATTAGAAACTATTTTAACTTTTCATTTTTAGCCGTTTAGCTCCATTTACTCCCATTCATTGAGGACTTTAAGCTCTAATTAATAGGCTCGTTAGCTGCGTTTCAAAGCCTAGGCAGCAGCCGAGGTAGGGCGGGTCCTCGGTAGGACTGTCCTATGAAGACTCCTCCTTAGTAGCCTGTTGGTCAGACAAACGGAACAGTCCTAACGAGGCTGTGTGGTGACGTCACCAGAAGTCTCACCTCTTGCAATTGTGGCGTGAAACTTGAGGGAACTGGTGAGAGAAATTGGAGCCCACTGCATTGTGTTTGTTGCTGCGGTAGCTAATATGCTAACAAGCTTATGTAGTGCGAAAAATTACATATATACAAATACCTCTGACTAAAATATGATATATGGACGAATATTTTAATTAATCAGTCATTTTACACATTTTAAAACAAGCTCTGCTCCAATGGCTTCTTTTTCTGCCATTTTTGTAATGTTATTTTTTTCCTTCACATCATTTGTGCGCATTGCGATGGGTAAGGATACGTTGCGTCACTGAAATCACACACTGAAATGTAGGCTGCATTTCTAGGCTATATGCTAAGGATCCTTCACTTAGGAACAGCCTTCTAGGAAGTAGCGGCCGAGAAATGCAGCCTACGTCTGCTGCAGCCTAGGCTTTGGAACGCAGCTGTTATATGTGTTAAACTCTCTCCTTGCCCTGTCATCTAGTCTGAGTGCCCTCATGACAAAAAGTCAAGAAATTCTGTGACGAACTGACGTTAAGTTTGTGATGCTCTCCGTTTTAGGAATCTGTTAAGGAGTTTAAAAGTTGTGTAGTGTATGCCCAGCAGTCAGAAATCACCATTCATTTATTTAATTTCCAGTCAAAAAGGAGATCAGATGAATCACAGAATGTGTTTGGAAAAATACAACCAACTTCTAAGACTGAACTTTGGAGGTGTGGAAAAATATCCCTGCAGATTTCTTTGAAAAACTCAAACAATGAAAAACTGAGTCAACCAATGAAAATAATGGAAGCTGTAATAAAGGTAAAGAGTGACACGCTGAATACAGGAAAATCTGATATTATATTTAGTCACTGAGTGCGTTTACATGCACTTAATAATCCGATAACTGCAGATTTTGTCAGTGACCTGATCAACGCGTTTATGTACACTTGAGTAATCAGATAATGGGGAAACTCCAGGTCAACATGAGTCAGACAGTAATCAGATTTCTGCTTTGCAACCAGACAATAAACTCACAGAAGAAGACGTGATGTAAATGTACTGTAAAACTCAAACTTCATGCTGCGCCTTTTTTTAAAAACATTGCGCCACTTTACCTGAGAATATGAACAAACATCATCTAGAAGATGAAGAATATTTAAATCCTTCATTTCGTAAAGAATGTATTTGGTTTCAGTGTCGCTCCAAAAGTATTTTACTGCGTCTCGCAGCAACGCTGCTTGCTGATTTCCGGTACTGCAGTCTGTTTTCACGCAAGCTCAGACTGAAAAATCTGAAAGAAATCAGAGTAAGAGTTTACATGCACTGAGAAATCTGATTACTGAGCTAAAATCCAGCCTCTTTATCCGATTGCTAGACCTTCCTCCTATCTAAGAAATCAGAGTGTGCTGTTTACATGACCATCTGAATAATCGGATAACTGAAGAAATCCGATTATGATCGGATTGTTAAGTGCATGTAAACACACTCATTGAGGCTTCGGTGTCATTTTCTGTTCAATATATTTGTTCTGCTTTTGTCAAGATGCAGAAAAACGAATAACTTAATGACTTAATACTTAACATGACTTCATTAAGTACTTAATGGCTGTTTTGACTGGAAATGAATGTGTGGGAGGGATCTCTGACTTTTGCACAGTACTGTATATGACCCCATTTTCTGACAGAGTATATGAACAAAACTGTTTGCGCTCATGAACGCTTGCTGAGTTGTGTCCTTTCATAAAGTCTTATTATACAGAATACAGATTGATTTGGCTTGTTCTCTCTGCGGAGTGGAGCGTGTTGTTGGCGTCTGTGTTTTTATGTGTGTGTATTGGTGTACATGGCTGTGTGTGTGAGAGTGCGTGGGAGGTTTGGGGGAGGCCGCGGCTCTTGTTGCTCTGGTATGTGGCACCTGTGTGTTGCCATGGCAGCTGCGGATGGAAGGAGCAGATGAAGATGAAGATGAATGAGAAGTGAACGTACCTTCAGGTTCTTGACGGCAACAGCAGGATCAGTGAGGAAACTCTGCCTCACACTGATCTCTATATTGGCCTCCTTCACCCTCTGCTCCAGATCATCTAACGTCTGAGAGAGAGAGAGAGAAAGAGTGAGAGAGAGAGAGAGAGAGAGAGAGAGGAAGAGAGAGAAGGAAGAAAGACAGGAGAAGGGAGAGATGAAGAGAAAGGGGAAAAGGGAGAAGGAGGGAGACAGAGAGGGAGAGGAGAAGGGGGAGAGAGAGAGAAGAGAAAGGACAGAGAGAAAGGAAGAGAGAAGAGAAAGAGAGACAGCACGAGACAAAGAGAGGAGAAGGGAAAGAGACAGATAAAGAGAAAGACAGAAGAGAAAGGAGAGATTGGAGAGAGAGGGGGAGAGTTAGAGAGAGGAGAAAGGTGTGAGAGAGAGGAGAAAGAGGAAGTGAGCAAGAGAGAGGGATGAAAAAAGGAGAGAAAGAGGACAGACAGAGTGAGAGAGAAGGGAGAGAGAGAAGAGAAAGGACAGAGATGACATAGAGAGAGAAGGGAGAGAGAAAAAGAAAAGGGAAGAATGGATGGATGGACGGATGGAACAAAAGAAAGGGAGAGGGGGAGAGATGTAGTGAAGGAAGCAGAGAAAAAGGTTAAAGTGAGAGAAAGAAAGGGTCAGAGGAAGGGAAGAGAGAAAGAGAGAAAAAGTAAAGCGTGAGTGAGGGAAAAAGAAAGAAAGAGAGAAATAAGAGAAGGAAAGAAAGAGAAAGCAAAAGGAAGGAAAGAATAAAGTAAAGAAAAAGAGAGGGAGGGAAAAAGAGAAAGATCAAAAGTGAAAAGAGAGGCAGGTAGTGAAAGAGTAAAAGTAAGAGAAAGGGGAGGAGATAGAGAAGCAGGGACAAAAAGAGACAGAAAGAGGGAGAGGGAGGCAGTGTTTGAGGGAGAGAGAGAGAAGCAGGGACAAAAAGAGACAGAAAGAGGGAGAGGGAGGCAGTGTTTGAGGGAGAGAGAGAGAAGCAGGGACAAAAAGAGACAGAAAGAGGGAGAGGGAGGCAGTGTTTGAGGGAGAGAGAAGCAGGGACAAAAAGAGACAGAAAGAGAGAGAGGGAGGCAGTATTTGAGGGAGAGAGGGAGAGAGAGAGAGAGAGAGAGAGAGAGAGAGAGAGGCAGGGACAAAAAGACAGAGAGAGAGAGGGAGGCAGTGTTTGAAGGAGAGAGAGAGAGAGAAGCAGGAAGAAAAAGAGACAGAAAGAGGGAGAGGGAGGCAGTGTTTGAGGGAGAGAGAGAGAAGCAGGGACAAAAAGAGACAGAAAGAGGGAGAGGGAGGCAGTGTTTGAGGGAGAGAGAGAGAAGCAGGGACAAAAAGAGACAGAAAGAGGGAGAGGGAGGCAGTGTTTGAGGGAGAGAGAAGCAGGGACAAAAAGAGACAGAAAGAGAGAGAGGGAGGCAGTATTTGAGGGAGAGAGAAAGAGAGAGAGAGAGAGAGGCAGGGACAAAAAGACAAAGAGAGAGAGGGAGGCAGTGTTTGAAGGAGAGAGAGAGAGAGAGAGAGAAGCAGGAAGAAAAAGAGACAGAAAGAGAGAGAGGGAGGCAGTATTTCAGGGAGAGAGAGAGAGAGAGCGAGAGAGGTGAAAAGAGATGTAACAGATAAGAAAGATGGAGAGGAAAGATGAGGGGATAATAGGGAGAAAATAGATGTGTCCGAAAGAGATAAAGGGAGAGAAGAGGAAGAGGATATTAGAAACAGAAGCAGATTTAATTTGGAGTTGTTGTTGTTTTTACCCTGACGGAGCCAAAAAACCATCACATGACAGTGGAGCTGAAGATGCTGGAGCTGAGCCAAACCCAGCTGAAGAGTCCCAGGTGCTGAACCACTCCAGCAGCCAAAAACCACCCACTGATCCAAAACCCACTCAGGGCTGAGCGCTTAGGATCATTTCTAAAGCCATTTCAAAAGCATGTGCTTCATTCAGACTGATCCTTTACAGCTTTTTTGACATTTAGGCCCAATCCTGTTTCTTATTTTCACCCCTACTCCCTGTATTCGAGACTCATCGTGCCCCTTGGAACTGAGTTACAAAGGGGTAGTGGTTGAAATCTTCCCTACGAAATGGGACCCTCAAATAAAAAAGAACATTACTTCATTAACAGCTACCAGCACTGCTCTGTAGGTGACCCTGCCAGTCTGCAGTGACAGCAGAGGAGGGTAAAGTTCAGCTCCTCACTGCTGGGCTTCAGTTACATTTAGGGCATCATATGCCTTCGAAGAGGGGGTCAATTATTTATTATCGCCCACCCCTAATTCTTCAGTGATATGAAGCTGAAGTCAGATATTTGCCAGCTTCTTGTTTGAATTTTCTCATTTCACCTTAAATGGTGCAGCAGTTCTGATGCCTGAAGCACCAGAATGTAACTGCTGCACCATTAAAGGTGGAATGGGACATTTAGCTGGCTACCTACCGAGACATTAGGATACTACTAGTGATTTTTTGTGCTTTTTATGAAGAAAAGGACCATAATGCATTAAAACGAGATTAAACTAAGATAATACAATGGTTGTAATTTTAACAGAGAAAATTTCTCAAATTTGAGGGTTTCTTTGGTCGCTTGTGCAGCCATCTTGCTGGTTTTTCCTTTTCTCCCATAACACTTTGTTTGGAGTGTGAAAAACCTCCATTTATAGCCTAAACACTTCACCCTACCCCTCTATCTCAACAACAATCAGGACACCCCACCCCTAGAAGTGAACACGCAAAATGGAGGGGAAGGGCTAAGTGGTAGGGACAAGGGGTGAAATGGGACTGGGCCGTAATGTCTTGAATGGCCAGGGCTCAAAGTTTTATTACACACTTCTGTAAACAAGAATAGCTCCATTAGTTTGCACTGAAGTCCCTGTAGTTACTGAATAATAAGTCTTAGTATGTAACAAGCCTGGGATTTTAATGGGTTAAAGGACTTTGAGTTCAGTCAGAACATTAAAGGAATGGTTCGATGTCTTTCTGCAAATAATATCAGTTTAAAATGAGTTTTTAAAATGATTTGTTGTGAAATATGTGTTCTACAGTGAAATTCAGCACAGAACTGCACTCAAGGTTTAAGTCATTCTACAACCACAAGCATAAAAATAGCTCAACACCACCACATCCTTGGGTTTTGGGATCATTTTAACATTATTTTTTTAGTATAAAATCATTTATTATTAGTGTGATAGTAGTCCAGCTATACTAGCTTTAGTCACCTGAGAGGGAGGAGAGGATTTAAATGAATGTAGAGTAGTAAGATTGTGCCTGATGACTTATACAGTTACATGTGCTGGGATTTATAATTTGATGGCAATATTAGCTTGTATTAGAGAATACTGTAGAATATTGCATCATTATATAGGTGCTCTTTCTTTATATATGTCTCTATGGGAGGTCAAGCGAGGTCAATCCACAGATGTTTGTCCATCCTTCCACTGTATTGTAATTGCAGACTGAACTTCGGAAAAATATCTCAGCAGATTTCTTTAAAAATTGAAAGCAAGTCTTTTAAAAAGAGTGGAGGCTGAAATAAAAAAGCTAATACAGAAGAAATGTGTTATATTTAGTTGTTGGGGTTACTAAATATGTTTTTTGTGTTTCTTGATGCTGAAAAGCACTTTATTTTGGCCATTTTTGTATTGTTTCTTACTTAGAAACATATTTCACAAAACATCATTATAAAACACTACAAAAGCTGGAAAAAGAATTGTTTTTAGGAAAAACACTTTTCATTATACCTCTTACACTGTAAAGGCTACCACACACCAGATGTATCATGCAGTGTCCAAGAATTCAGTCTATTTCTGTACGTGCCAGAGTGCCACTCATTTGTTCCTCATACTGATGCTCAGAGGGGGAACAATTCACTAAGTTGCAAGTGACAAGTCTTGACATTCAAGTCCTGAGTCAAGAAAGTCGAGTCTCGCTTTGAGTCTCGTGTCATGACAGACAAGTCTCAAGTTGAGTCCCAAGTCCTAATCTTTGAATCCTACACAAGTTAGTCAACATTTTTCAGCTAGTTGAAGGTCATTTCAACACTGAACACCAAAAATGCTGGTAACTGTAGTGCAGCCTTTTATTTGTTTACTCTTTTTACCCTTCCAAATAAATTCAAAATCCATGGTACACAGATGACAGACATAATGACATACAAGAGTAGTCCAACTACACATGACTAGGTACTATTGAACTTAATTTAAAAAACTTTATATTTGAGGATAATAATTCGGAGCATATGACTAAAATAAAAACTAGCTCAACATTAAAACATGCTCAGCAAATTAAAAACAGTCTGAATTGAATTTAGGCAACAGAAACCAAAACGAGATCTGAACAAAGTTTACAGAAAAGACAGCAAAATTATGATAAATGATGAAACTGAATTTACTTTTTATTCACCTGCTTCTTATTCGAATCTTCCATTCTACCTTAACTGCTGCACCATTTAAAGTGCAAATTCAAAGTCAACTTCAGCCTCGTGGTGAATATTGCGCTTGTTTTAACTGCAGAAGCTGTCAAATAGAGAGAGCTGTGTTTCTTTTGTTTTGCTATCATGAGGACAGTCAGTTCCCCCGGGAAGTTTCTACAGTAAGAGTTTAAAAGCTGAGCTGGGCTTTATTAATGCTGCTGATGTTCCGCTTGTTTAAAGTGTATGGAGGTGAACTTGAACTCCAAATGCTTCACTTGTTTTCTGAAATAAAATAAGCTGAGCGTAAACACAGCAACAGACATTCGATGACGTTGCTGTATATTGGATTTACGGCAGGAAACGAATCCGTTCACATGAAAACTAACAGGCTGTGTAGATTCCCGTCCGACTCTCTCCACGTTTCTTTCACTTTGGGTCTCGAGTCCTTCCGAGTCAGGAGGCTCAAGTCCGAGTTGTTGGTGTGCGAGTCAAAGTCGAGTTGCCTTTTTTGATTTTGTTGAGTCGAGTCTTGAGTCATTAAATTTGTGTCTCGAGTCGGACTCGGGTCCACACCTCTGCTGATACTAATACTAAATTAAACCCAGAGACCACAAACATCAACGGTAGGCTACTTGGGTTTGAAATGTACACCTAGAAAGGCAGTCAGTCCGAAGTCTTCAACCTATCTACTCTGGTTTTCTTCAGCTTGTATCTTTTAGCTTGGAAACAGTGAGTGTGTGAAGAGTTAGGTTGTTGTGATGCTGAAAGCTTTAATCCATTAAATCTATATGAGGACAGTGTAAAATGACCATGAGCTTGATGTTTATCGGCTCTCTGGCTGAGATGCCTCCTGTGTAGTTCATGCAACACTACGTGTCCAGTGTGTGGTGGCCTTAAGGGTGTGTGTGTGAGCCCACAATTCAATTCCTCACTCTCATAACTATATAACTTACACTTTAGTTTCACAGTAGGTACAAAAATTATACGGCTTAAGCTTAATAACTGAATAATAAGCATGTATTTAAAGGGGTTACCCGAGTTATCCAAAGGTTTCTTTCAGGACATAGTTTAGCACTCAGCTCTAACACAACCAATACTTTACAAAATTCAGAGACCACCCTTCATTTATTTAGTTTCCAGCTAAAACAGCCCTTAAGCTATTCATTTTTCATGAGATGTTTCTGAGGAGTTTAGACATACGATAATCCACTTGCACAAGAAGAAGAAAGTCAAAGGAAAACAAGTGAAAAAGGAGTTTTGAAAACTGGAGATCAAAAAATAAGAGAAAATGTGACTCCTAACAACCACCTGAAACACCTGATCATTAGATAAACAGCACTTAAAGCATTCATTATTAAGAGATGAGAAAATCAAGCTCCCCTCTCACTACAGATCTGACGAAAGCAGTTATTGAGAAGGAAGTAGGCGAAAAAGAACATGTACAAATCAAACAAAGGCTACTGGTGTTCACAAAAAAATGGACCATCCACTCCAGAGTCCAGCAGCCAGTTGCACCAGCTGAGTTTGATCATACCATTATGTTTATGTTTACCAGCTACCAGAATTTAAATCGGAAAAATAAACATATGTCGGATATCGAAGAATATTGGAGAATAAACACACGTAAGAGTGATGGACGCTTTATTGTAAAACACAGTGTCTTTCCGAATTATAGCTAATATGACCGACACACCTTAAGCAAAGTAAACGTAGCACGAAAAGAGAGAAATTTCACTGTGTATGGAGATCATGTGTGTAATGTTTCCCTTTTATGTCGGGTAGCATTACTGATTGGCTGCAGAGTGAAAACGTCACTCTGTGCGACAGTGTTTTGATCTACGATCACTTTACGCTCTACTAGTTAAGATGTAGCGTACGTTTCTGTGGTTTACCCGAAATTCTGTGTGTGGCTAGATTTAAACTAACTACTCTCAATGTAAGGTTTAGGATTGACTTTACACCCCATCTTACGATCGAACTTACATTCAGCTGGTGCAACTGGCTGCTGACCTCAACATCACTGGAATGTTCGGGATTATTTGGATCGCACGAAGCAGAAAATGTAACCAACTTCTAAGACTGAACTTCGGAGGTGTGGCACAACATCCCTGCAGATTTCTTTGAAAAACTAAATACTGAAAAAAAAGATTGCTTTTTTATGATGCTAAAAAATAATTAAAAAGCACTTAATGGTCACTTTGACTGTAAATAAATTTAATAAAGGGTGATCTGAGTTTTGTACAGTGGTACACGCTTCACCACTTCATCATTTATCATCAATAGATCAGGAGCTGTGGGTTTCTAACCCCTGTGCTACGCAAACAAGCAAAGAGAAGACTCACTGAAGTGAAGACCTCTGTGGTCTGCTGGATGGTGGCGATCTTGGTCCAATTCCACTTCTGGAAGAGCTGGACGCGGGTGGGGTTGTGCAGGGTGGCCGAGGGGTGCGTGCGGAAGAAGGTGGGGAAGCGCTGGCGGTTGGACAGAGCAGGAGAGCTGGAGCCGTACGACAGCTGCAGAACAAGCAGAGCAACACAGAGAGAGCCAAACACACAAGGTCACATTTCCATCAGCCTGAAAACGAGCTGTGAGTACACTGCAGGCTCCGCTCCACCAACCACGGCAAAACTCTGGGAAAGGAGATAAGGGAGGCATGTGAAACGAGGAGGAGGAGAAAACGTAAACAGGAAAGAAATGAAGTGTGAGATTACCCGTTTCTAATTAAAGCCGAGCCGCAGAGGCACTACGTGATCTCATTTGATCATATCTTATCATTTCTGAGTTTGTTGGTTCCTCCTCAGTCATTTCAGTGAGTGATGGGTTTAGCCAAGGTGTTCAAACTCGAGCACTTTCAAGGCTAGTAGAGGGATATGTGGGTCAAAACTCATCTGTGGTGGTGATAGTGGTGGTGGGGGGAGATATAAAAATAGAGCTGAACATGAAAAATGGAGAGACTGATTTTCAGCGCAAAGAAAAGCAGTGGCTCTGCACTTTACAGGCAGACGGTAAAGGGTAGGGAGCGACAGTCCTACAAAGCGCTGGCCCGAACTTCAGTTTCTGGCTTGAGGGTGGTTAAAGGTAACGTTTTTAATCATGGCTCGGGACGTTTGAAGTGAGCGTAGGCCCAGCGGCTGAGGAGATACCGCGACTGTGACCCAAAACTCAAAGGAGTTTTGAAGGCTTATGTGATGCTTATGTGACAGCAGATAGGTGCAGGATGGCTCCATTACACTCCTTCGCCAACAGGACTAGATAAGGGAGATAATCTGCCCCTCAGGATCTCCAGATAACACTGACAGAAGCCTCTGGAGACTCCACTGCTTTTCTATCCCATAAATCAGTGTTCCGCAAGTTCAGGCATATGGGCGTTTTGGTACTCGGGATATGTGCTTGTCAAGCCCAAGGAATCAGGTCAAAAACATTTTTTTTTACTGAATTATTATTAAATTAATATTAAAAAAATCACTTGAAGCTGCACTATGTATGATTTTTTGTTAAAACTGAAAGTAGCATTACTGAGTCAGGGGATAAAAACATGATAAAATATGGTGTCCATCATCCTGGAAATAATAATTTAACAGTCGAGGCCGTCATGTCGGATTTTGCGGGAGTTTTTCAGACCATGTCAAACATCTTTATGTACTAACATCACACACACAGGCCAAAAAAGAAGGTCCAGCTCGATTTAGGTCTCAAATGCAAATCAACAATAACCTGATGAAGATATGATGATGATGGATAGTGATCTCACATCCTCTGAAGACTTCCTATGAATTCTCTCCATTGAATTGTACATCGCAATGCATTAACAACATGAAAGGGTTTGTATGTGGGCCACTTAAGTTCCTTACTTTAATAACTAGATAACTTACCTATAAGAGTTTTAGTTTTATAGTGGGAATTGAATCATTTATAGTAGTTACTTTATGATTCATAACAGTTGCTGAATCATTTCGAGTACACACTGAATCATTTTGAATAATTACAGTATTTCATCATTAATCACAGTAGATACTGAATAATTCACAGTACACATTTAAAATTATGGTTCTTCAAGGGTTCCTTAGTAAAGAAAATGGTTCTACATAAAACCGTGAACACTCAAAGAACCCTTTGCATGATTAAAGAGTTCTTTGCATCATTAAAGGATTCTTCACAATGATGGAGATTGTGCGGTTCTATATAGAATCCTTTTGAAAAGGGTTCTATATACCAAGAAAAAGGGTTCTTCTATTGTAACAAGCCTGACATCATGAAAATAGAAGAACCCTTTTTGGTGGTATGTAGAACCCTTTTCAAAAAGATTCTATGTAGAACCATCTACAGCACAGTCTCTATCAATCTGAAGAAACTTTTCACCATGCAAAGAATCCTTTAATCATGTAAAGGGTTCTTTGAGTGTTCACAGTTCTACATAGAACCATTGTCTTTGAATTCTCTTTTAATGAGCTCACAATCATCAGATTCATTTGCTCGGGAAAGGGGTCACGACCGACATTACAAAATGGTGTTCTGCACATTGCATGTAATTACATTTCCACCAGAGAGGTCTCCAAATCCCCAAATCTTACATAGTGCAACTTTACGATTTCAAATAAAAGCAAATTATAAAACTCATGACATGGTAACATGTCTCTTAACATATGAAGTCCTTGACAGTCTCCAGGCTGAAGCTTTAGCCTCAGCTATAAAACGTTAAGTTAGCCTAGTTAGCTACACTAGCCTTAACTGATAGGTGCTAAATAAATGTACTATCAAGCCTGAAGGTCTGTCGCAATAGAAAAGTTTCATTTTGCACAGTAACTCTGCAACAATCATTAAAGATGTAGGCTCAAAAAAACAGCATAGACCAGCAATTCCATGCTGGTCTAAGCTGGTTTATACTAGTTTATACTGTTCTGGTGCTGATTTAGCTGGTCATCCAGCACAGTCAAGCTGTTTGACCAGAACACCAGCATCCAAAACACAACATATGCTGGTCTATGTTGGTTTTTCTAGCTGGGAAAACAACAAGGATTTCAATGACTTTGCCCTGAAAACAAATCCTTGAGATGGACAACTGCAAACATTCAAAGTGCAACCTCAGGCAGATCATTAGCTATTAAAGATGACATCAATTAATGACAAAAGCCCTTTGCGCACCAGATGAGGTTGACGTTGTAAAAATATCACATGGACCACAGGTCAACTTCATATGCAATAAATGCTGATGGTAATTCTATATTTACACTGCCCACTAAATATAATTGCACTGTCATGGAAACCTCATTAAGTCCCCACCTCATCCTGGATCTACTCTGGTTCCTTCTGCTCATTATTATAATCACCTGTGTCTGATTTGTAACAATGGCTCCTCCACTGTTACAAATTAGCCCCTACTGTTTCACGTTTCAGCTATATCTAGTTATGTTTGTGTTTATGTAATGTAGGCTGTAATTATTTCACTGTTTTGTTTTTTAATAAAGTATTCTTTTCTAATTCTAAGCCGTTCCTAGTCCTGTTCCTCTTAGCTCCTTGGCTTCCTGTGTTTATACTTCTGTCTTTGTCCATAGAGTTTACCTTGTTTTTCACCTTCACTTGCCTGGCTGTCCAGTTCACTGTTACTGGATATTCCTAGGACAGTACTGTCTCCCTGTTCTCTGACCCCCTTCCTGAGATACTGATATTCCAAGCATGGTAATCATAATCAGGTAGAGATAGTTCTCTAAAATGTTTAGGAGCCACAGCAGTGCCTTCAATAAGAGAGTATTGTTGATAAGGAAGATGATGGATGCTACTTTAACATTAGGTTGACTTAATAAAGTAAGTTGTTGTAATCAGGACATATTTGCATAATTTGTAAATATACACTACATAGACAAAAGTCGTGTAAAGCACACTGTCACTGGACTCTGAAGCAGTGGAAATGCATTCTGTGGAGTGACAAGTCACGCTTCTCTATCTGTCAGTCTGAAGGCGAGTCAGGGTTCGGCGAATGCCAAGAGAACGTTCCCTGCCTGACTGCATTGTGCCAACTGTAAAGTTTGGTGGAGGAGGGTAATGATACGGGGTTGATTTTCAGGGGTTGGCCTAGAACCCTTAGGGAAGTGAAGGGGTTAGTGAACCCTTAGTGAAGGGAAACACGACATTTTGGACAATTCTATGCTTCCAACTTTGTGGGGACAGTTTGGGGAAGAACCTGACTGGCCCACACAGAGCCCTGACCACAACCCCATCAAACACCTCTAGATGAACAAGAATGGAGACAGCAAGCCAGGCCCTCTCGTCCAACATCAGTGTCTGACCTCACAAATGCTCTTCTGGATAAATGGGCAAAAATCTGCTGCAAAGGGGGACCAACTCCATATTCATGCCTATGGATTTAGAATGGGACTCATAAAAGCTCTTGTGGGTGTAATGTGCAGGTGTCCCAATACTTTTGTCCATATAGAGTATGTCTTAGGCAAACCAGAATGTCTAGAGTTGCCCAACCTGAAGAACTGGGTTTTGAGAACTCTGAGACACAGCATATTGGCTGAGAGCTTCCAGAATTAAAAAATAATAAATTGTGACCAATAAAACCTTCAATTGTACATTATACTACATCAACAACATAAAGGGGTTTGTATGTGGACCATTTCAGTTCCTCACCTTAATAACCACATAACTTACCTATGAGCATTTTAGTTTAATAGTAGCAACTGAATCATTTATAGTAGTTACTTTATGATTCACAACAGTTGCTGAATCGTTTAGAGGACAAACTGAATCAATTTAAATAATTATAGTATTTTATCATTAATCACAGCAGTTACTGAATAATTCACAGTACACCCTTATTCATAAGTGTGTACTATAGTACACAAAAGATGGTTCTTCACAGGTTCTTAGTAAAGAAAACACTCAAAGAACCCTTCGCATGATTAAAGAGTTCTTTGCTTCATGAAAGCATTCTTCAGATTGATGGAGAATGTGCTGTAGATGGTTCTAGATAGAACTCCTTTGAAAAGAATGTGCTGTAAATGGTTCTATACAGAACCTTTTTGAAAAGGGTTCTATATAGTAAGTAAAAGGGTTCTTCCACTGTAACAAGCCTGACATTGTAACAGTAGAAGAACCCTTTTTGGTGCTATACAGAGCCCTTTTCAAAAAGGTTCTTTAGTAAGGAAAATGGTTCTATATAGAACCGTGAACACGCAAAGAACCCTTTGCATGATTAAAGGGTTCTTTACATTGTGAAAGGTTTCTTCAGACTGATGGAGAATGTGGTGTATATGGTTCTATACAGAACCTTTTTGAAAAGGGTTCTATACAGCACCAAACAAGCCTGGCATCATAACATCATAACATTTGCAGAACCCTTTTTGGTGCTATATATAACCCTTTTCATGTTGTTTTTTTAGTAAAGAAAACGGTTCTATATAGAACCATGAACACATAAAGAACCTTCTGCATCATTAAAGGGTTTAGATTAATGGAGAATGTGCTGTAGATGGTTTTGTATAGAACCCTTTTGAAAAGGGTTCTATATAGCAAGAAAACGGCTTCTTCTATTGTAACAAGCCTGACATCATAAAAATAGAAGAACCACTTTTGGTGCTTTGTAGAAACCTTTTTTATAAAGGTTCTTTAATAAAGAAAACGGTTCAATACATCACCATGTACACTCAAAGAACCCTTTGCATGTTTAAAGAGTTCTTTGTATCGAGAAAATGTTCTTCAGATTGATAGGGAACATGATGTAGATGGAACATTTTTGAAAAGGGATCTATAAAGCACCAAAAAGGATCCTTCTACTGTAACAAGCCTGACATTGTAACAGTAGAACCATCTATAGCACATTCTCCATCAGTCTGAAGAACCCTTTTCACGATGCAAAGAACCCTTTAATCATGCAAAGGGTTCTTTGAGTGTTCATGGTTCTACATAGAACCATTTTCTTTACTAAAAACCCTTGAAGGGACATAGATACTAAATGATTCACAGTCGTTAAGGATAATTTAGAGTTCTTTCTGAATTCTGAACATTCAGATTAATAACTGACTAACAGGGTTATTGTTAGTGTGTTTTTGACAAGGTTACTGCTGTAAACAGGAAAACAACCCAGACAGCAGCTGCCTCTCGTTCCATTAACGTTAATGATAAGAGGAATGTTATGTGAATGCTAGATTAACAGACAAATAGATTAACCCTCCCACAACAGCCACAACAACCCCCCACCCTCACCTCCACAAAAACACCTCACAGACTGCTGTAAGACGGATTTGACAGCCCAATAAATCCGTGTCTGGTCACCGTATAGCAGAGGAAAAGCACTAATCTCTACCAAGCGGTCATCCCTCAGCACCTGAGTCTGACATTCCTGCTCTGTACTGAGTGCATCGACCTGAAAATGAACCCTGAAGGCGGATAAACACTGAAACACGCACCACTATGAGGTTCCACATGCGAGCCGCCTCAGCCACCAGCGTGGAGACGGAGCTGCATCCCGGCATCAGCACGATCTTTATGGGCTCAGTGTAGAGCAGGTCATACAGCAGCTTGGTGGCCTCACCGGAGTCACACTGAAACAGAGAGAGAGAGAGAGAGAGAGAGAGAGAGAGAGAGATGAGCGGGTGTGGGGTAGGTTTGCAAATGTATTCATTTATCAAGTCTTACTGGGATGCTGAGTTTGATGCGTACTGTGAGAGCGGCTCACACTCAACACCAAAACACTGCAAACAAATCAAATATTTCACACTCACACCGCACTCGTGTTTATGAAGCGCTCGGCTGTGAGACAGACTTCATTTAATACAGCATCACACCAGGAATCAATACAGAGAGAGAGAGAGATGAGGAGAGAGAGAGAGAGATGAGGAGAGAGAGAGATAGGGAGAGAGAGAGAGAAAGAAAGAGAGAGAGATGTGGAAAGGGAGAGAGGGAGATGGGGCAGAGAGAGAGGGAGTGATAGGGAGAGAAAAAAGAGAGAGAGATGGGGCAGAGAGAGAGAGGGAGAGACAGGGAGAGAGGGAGGGAGAGAGAGGGAGAGGAAGAAAGAGATAGGTATAGAGAAAGAGTGAGGGAGAGAGAGAAACAGAGAGAGATAGGAAGCGACAGGGAGAGAGATGGGGGAAAGAGAGAAAGAAAGAGAGATAGGGAGAGAAAAAAGAGAGAGAGATGAGGAGAGAGCGAGAAAGAGAGAGAGATGGGGCAGAGATAGAGAGAAAGAGAAAGAGAGAGGGAGAGAGAGATTCCAAAGAGTTCAGTCATGTTTGTGTGAGCTCCCAGTTTTTTGTGTTGTTTTCTGTTTTGAAATGAGAGAAAAGTTGAAATAATCATAGAAAACACTACATCAGGATACACTAAGAACAAAACTACAAAAAACAAGACAAAAAAAGAGAATATCTGTGAGATATTAGAGGAGATCAGCTCAAAACTACAGGAGAGGATCACATTCGGGCAGAGCCGCAGCACAACTACAACTGTTCCAGCACTGTTCACCAACAGCAGCAGCAGCTCTGTGAGTCACATTATTTTACAGTGGAGGACAAAATAAACATCTATTTCATTATTATTATTTAACATCTTACTAATATTTTAAGTGACTTTGACAATAAAAGCTAAGGCTAAGCTAAAGGCTAAAGCTAAAGTGTCAGTTGATCGTTGACTTTTGAAAAGTCTCCCCAATGTTCCGAGACAGCTACATGCAAATGAGCTCTCAGAATGAGCCAATCAGAAGGAGCCTCGTTCAACCCCTGCTGCCCTGAAGAGGGCGTGGCCTCGCTCTGCAGTCCAGTGCAGTTCTGCACGGTCACTTACCCTCCTGACCTAAAGAGCGACACTGCCAGGAAACAGTTTAAACACAAACTCCTGAAAGAGAAGCCAGGAAATCTGTTTGCAGACCTGTATAAGACTGGGGAGGTCAGCAACCTCATCTTTTACTCTGACCGCCCAAGCTCATGGCACAAAGCCTTGATTTCTCACTACCCCTCTGTGAAAAAAGAGGGCATCTGTAATGGATGGAAAATCAAAATAAAAGACCCTAACGACACGGAGACAATCATGACCACAGTCAACATCTACAAAAACGGGACCCTCATGGTCCAGGGAAACCTGGGTGAGTTCCAGGAGTCGTTTAATAAGCTCAGAGAAACCGCTGAGAAGGAGCGATCCAGTGAAAACACTCCACAGGGGGAAGACACTGAATGTGCCTCAACACACAGCAGCACAGCAGAGCCCTCAGCTCAGGAGCAGGACACTGAGCAGGACCAAGACCCTTCACTCTACACCTCCATTACCCTGATAAAGGAGCACTTCACACAACTGGAGGTAGAGCTTGTACACCTTCGGGAAATGGTCCTCAAACAGGAACAGGACAAAGAGCTGAAGCACGAGAGAGACACCTACAGAAAAGAGCTGGCTGAACTGAAAGAGGTCAGAGAACTACAGAAGGACAGGGAGAAGGACAGGAACAGCTACAGGAAGGAGATGGCTGCACTGAGAGAGGAGCTGAAACAGAGAGACAGCACAGAGCAGAGTCTGAGAGAACAGCTACTCTCCTCCAATCAGCAACAGAGTCCTCTAACAGCAGATACCTCCACCCAGACTAACCCGCCCTCCCAGCTTCAGCCTCCACCTTCAACCTCAGAATTACCTTTAAAGAGGCAACACTGGGGTCACCAAGCCACATCATAATACACACAGGGACAAATGACCTCAGAGCTCAGCAAGAGAGAGTGGCCGTATCCCCGAGGGCAGTGATAGAGAAGGCCAGCAACACCTTCCCTAATTCGAAGATCATCATCTCCACCCTGCTGCCTCGCAAAGACTTTCATCCGTACACAATTCAGAAAAATCAACGCCAGCATCTCCAGAGAGTGTGCCCTCAGACCAAACACCCACCTCGCCCACCACCCGACTCTGGATACAGCCTGCCTCTATGACCACGTCCACCTATTCAAAGAGTTAGTCCCTGTGTTTGCTAAAACATTGAAAGACGTCACACTGACCCGCAATGTCACCACACTCCAGCGCAAAGCTGGACGAAACCCAAACACACGGCCATCAAGACACACCCCAAGACCTGACGATGGAGCAACTCCACAAGCCCTCCGTCTGAGACCTCGACACCACGCCCCTCACTATCCAGAACAGCCAGCCAGGCAGACGAGGCACCGTAGCAACCCTAGCCTCCCGCCAGCACCAGCACCTATGGCAGGAACACACACTGCACCGCTGCCCCAGGGCCCAGATCCACCTCCCCAACAACTCCAGACCGGGCCAGGAGCACTGACCTACGCTCAGGCTGTCAGTGGACCAGCAAACCCTAATAACTCTGAGCTCAGAGACATACAGCAGATGCTCAGCCAAATCTGCACTTGTCTAATGGGACATGGTCTGTGGTAAGAATCACATTACCATATAGGTAAAGGACATAAACACACACTGTTTGTTTAAAAAAAATACAGAATGAAATCTTTTCGCATTTCTATATGGAATATTCAAGGTTTAAAATCCTCTTTATTTGGTTTAAAAAGTAGAAACCCTGATTTATTGAAGGAAGTAAGAAATGTTGATATATTAATTTTGCAGGAAACATGGTGTAGAGCAGACGAACCCACTGGTTGTCCCCCAGGCTACAGGGAGTTAGTGGTCCCCTCCACCAAGTCAAAAGGAGTGACTCAGGGTAGAAACTCAGGGGGGATGCTCGTATGGTTTAAATCAGAACTAACCAATTCTATTGAAACAATAAAACAAGGACAAAATAATTTGTGGTTAAAAATTAGTAAGCAATTAACCCCAACACCTCAAAATTTATTCCTTTGTGCAATATATATCCCTCCATTAGAATCCCCCTATTTCAACGAAGAGACCTTCCCAAACCTGGAAAATGAAATCAGCCATTTCCAAAACCAAGGCCATGTAATTATCTGTGGGGACCTAAACGCAAGAACAGGAGACCAACCAGACTTTATCAGCACTCAAGGTGATCACTTTATAACAGGAGACAATATTAATTTTCCCTCATACTCCCCCAGAGAAAACTGTGACAAGTCAGTAAACGCACATGGGAAGAACCTACTGCAGCTCTGTCGAAGCCTGGGTCTGTACATCGTAAACGGACGGCCGCGAGGGGACTCCTTCGGTCAGCTCACCTACAGCTCAGCTCTAGGCAGCAGTACGGTGGACTACGCCATAACCGATCTGGACGTGACTTTCCTGAGAGCCTGACCATGCACAGACTCAGTGAGCACAGCCTGGCCATCGAAACTGGCCGGCACAGACAGACCTGGTTACCCAGAGAGGCCAGGCTGTGCTCTCACTGTGAGCTCTCAGTGGTGGAGACGGAGCTGCACTTCCTCACAGAGCTGCTCTAGATACGACTCCATTAGAAAGGAGTTCTATGGGAAGGTGAGCAGCGTCTGTCCTGAGTTTCAGCTCTGCAGTGACTCTGAGAAACTGCCGTACGTGTTGGGAGAGAAGAGCGAGCTGATCACACACGCAGCCAGATACGTGACCGCCTGTCACAACCTGAGGGACAACCAGTGAGAAACTGATAGTTTCTTATTGATTATTATATATTTATGAAATTTGTCTTGACTCTTTTATTTTCCTTTTCTTTTTCTTTGATTAGTAATAACCCTGTAAATAACTTATTTTCTAGTGTTCTATTATAATCTATTATATCATCTTTTTCTTATTTTTATGTGTTTCTTATTAACTGCTTTGGCAACAGTGTATTTCATTACATTCATGCCAATAAAGCACTATTGAACTTGAACTTGGAGCAGAGAGAGAGATGGAGAAAGAGATAGGGAGAGAAAGAGAGAGGAAGAGAGAGATAAGGAAAGAGAGGGAGAGCGGGAAAGCAGCAGGTATGAGAGAGAGAAGGGAATAAGATAAAGAGAGAACAGAGCATGAGAGAAAGACAGAGAGAGTGTTACTGAAGAAGAGAAAGAACAGAGAAAAGGAGTATGTGGGGTGTGTGAGAGTGAGAAAAAGTGAGAAAGAAGGAGAAGGAGAAGAGTGTGAAAGAAACTGAAAAGGAGAGATGCAGAAAGGGAGAAAAGGATAGAAGGAATAGAAGAATGGAGAACAGAAAAAAGAAAAAGAAAGCAAGAGAGAGGATAAGAGAGAAAGATAGGGGACGAAAGAGAGGAAGAGCAAACAGGACAGAGAGAAAATGAGAAAAATGTGACAAGAGACTAAGGAAAATGGAAGGAGAGAGAGAAAGAGAGAGAGAAATAAACAGGGTAATAAGAGAGAGACAGGAAAAAGAGAAAGAGAGAAAGTGAGAGAATGGAGTGAGAGAGAGGGACAGAAAGAGGGTGACTGAGGAAGAAAAAGAAGAAGAAGAAGAGAGCAGAAGCGTGTGGGGTGTGTGAGAGAGAAAAAGAAAGAGAGAGAGACTCAAAAGGAGAGATGCAGAAAGGGAGAAAGGAAGAGAAAAACTGAGAAAAGAAAAAAGAGAAAATGAAAGAGAGAGAGGAAGAGCGAAAGGAAGAGTGAGAGGGAATGATAGAGTGTGACAGGAGACAAGACAGAAGGAGAGAGCGAAAGAGAGAAATAAACAGGAATAAGA